TTATAAAGCTTTAAAAGCATAACGAGAATCTATTAAAAAAGCTGCACGGAAACGCGTTAAAGCGCTTATTCGAGCAATTAACGGCGGCAATGCAAAGGCTTTTTATATTAACGATTTTAATACTTTAGATATAATTTGTTAGCGATATATTATATTAGCGGATTCATATACTCGCGTGTTTAATATAAAAGCTATTATTATATTAATAAAAACTCGAGCGCGCAACGCAGCTTTTCGAGTTACGCTATATCCGTTAAAAGACGCTCTTTCGGCAAAAGCAAAAGTCTAATTTATTTATAGCTAACTTAAAGTTATTTTCGCTAAATTAATAAAAATAAATAAACTCGAGCTCGCTTATACCGCGATTTTAAATCGAAACGCTTTACGACCGGAAGATTTACGGAATCTGCTCGTTACGCTGCTAAAAGCTTTTAAAGCTGTACTTTAGCTTAAAGCTAAGCTTTTTAAGACTGTTAAATCATACGAAAGACTTAGCAAAGTGATTTTTTTTTTTAAGAATAGATTACGAAGCGATTTATATTAAGCTTTTAAAAAAGCGCGATTTGCTTAAGAATTTAACTTTTAATAAAACTATTGCGTTTTTCGCTGCTCTTTTTACTTTTAAACGATCTTTTTTCGAAAGTATAATCGATAAAATAATTTAATAAACTCTTATTAGCGAGAGCGCTATTAACTGCTTTTAAGCTACGGTTAACGTTGCGAAAGCTTCGGAAGATTGCTTAATTATAAATAGCAAGCTTATATTAAAAGCGACGGATAATATAATAAAAGACGAATTTGCTTTGAAGCTTTAACGACTTATTTAAAAAGAAAGTAATGTTCTTTTATTTAATAATGATTTATTTTATAAAGTTACGAGTCGTTATATCGATAAAGCGCTTTATCGCAAGAATTTACTTCTTTTTTTTTCTTTTGTTACTTTGATTTATAGCCGAATTATTAATAAAGCAAACTTTATATAAGTCTTTGCTCGATTAAAATAAATCTTATATCGAGATGCTATTGCCTAGCGGTTTTAGCTCGAACGCTTATTCGAATTCTTTTAAATAATTAAGTTTTAATTACAAAAGAACGTTCGTAGCAGCTAAATTAAGCACCGTCGACGTATTACGATCTTAATATTCGAAGCTTTTTCGATTTAAAAACGATTTTGCTTTTTTTATTATTAATTTTATTCCGAATCTCTTTATAATTATATTTTATAATGTTTTTTAATTTTAGCATTTTTTTCTCGATTAGTTTGCTCGTAAAAATCGACGTACTTTACGAATTATAATCGGAAATGATTCGAAACCTTTTTCGACGGAAATCGACTTTGCTTCGACGTTTAATTAGCTATTTTTTAAATACTCGTATTATTATTCGTTAACTCTTAAAGTTATCGTTAATATACTCGAATAGTTTTTAATTATTAATACGCAAGTTATATTTAATACAAGTCACTTTTACATCATCTCTTGAATTTGAAGGATCCTTTAATAAAGCCCTTTCTTGCCGTCCAAGCTTGCAAACAACTTTATTTTTTGACGTTTCAAACCTCTTTTATTCTTCTCGAATTGCTTTCGTCTCGGTAGCTCGAAAAATGATAGGTAAGATATTAAACCGCCGCTTTCGAAGCAATATTACGGCCGACTTCATTCGACCAGACGAAGCAACAATACTTTATTATAACTTTATTAAACGTCTTCGAAACGAGTAACGAGATATAGATAATTAAGTACCTCCGAAGCTTATTATAAGTGTTAAGGACTAGCCCGATACTTTTAATTACGTTAAAGTAAAAGCGCAAGTAAAAGCTTTGAATAAAAAGAGAGCGGACACGCAACGTGTTATCTTTTAGTATTTCGAAATAAACGATAAATTTGTCGCATCGATCTAAAGCATAGCGGACAAAGCTATTGCTCGCAAAATTGCCGAGAAATCTACGAACTTCATTATTATTGCTTTTTACGCTAAGTCCAGCGAAGAGATCTTTGCTTTTATTCGCATTCGCAGCGAATTTTCTTACTTACTTTCTATTAAGACGCTATTACTACTTCTTCTTATTAACTTTACGGAAGCAGCGGCCGGAAGAGTCGATTTGACCTTGATAAAAGCTAAGCCTTAAGCTAAAGCTTTAGCTAAGAAAAGCGGACTTAGTTAAACCTTATCTTCAGGTAAGGCCTTATTATCGTTAGCTTTTATACATTCGAAAAAACCCGACTTTCGAATCTTCGTTATAATTATAAACGAAGTTAAGCGCAATCGATTTTAGCATTTTTATACTTTGCGTAAAGCGCTAATCAACTCTTTTCGCGATTTCACGATAGACTCTATTATCGAAATACACGCGACTTAGATTGGATAGTCACTTTTAATTAAGGACTTATAAATACGTAATACTTTTATTAGTTAAAAAGGAAAAGAAACGGTTAAGCGTCTTTTATCCGCGATTAAAGTCGAGATACTATAACTTTAGTATAATTACGCGGTTTACTATATCTTTTATTTTATATACGTTTTTAATAAAAACAGCGAGCTAGAATTGATATTAATTAAAGACTTCGTTCTCGATAAAGTAGTTGCATAAACGGGATAAACGCTAATCGAAATTAAAATCGGCGATAAAAGTGTCGACTTTAAAGCTTTTAACGTTATTATGACTTTAGTCGTCTCTTTTTTAAAAAAAGTAAAGCTTTTCCGTTTTTTTAATATAAAAGACACGGCTAAATTGATTAAAAAGAAATACAAGATTACGAGACACGATTTAAGATACTAAAAATATTGTAATTCGGCTAAGTGTATTCGATACTTTCGCTATAGCAAATGCAGCTAAAGAATCGATTAATACGACGGCTTAGCTTATAGCGATTGCATAGCGCCGACGAAGTGCGCGAACTGCTATAATCCTTTTAAAGCCGAGCATTAAAACTGCTTTGCTATTTCGTATAAAAAAGACGGCAAACTGATACGGCTTATAAAGAAAGAGCTCGCGGCTATCCGACGAGTTAGCGTTAAGAATTATAAAGAAAAGCACGTACGTGACAACACTTTATACTTTATATCCGCAGCTCTTATAAGCAGCGTCACTATTATTATTATTATTAGCAATAGTACTTCGGATATAAACACTTCGGTATATTTATTGCGTTAAGCATAAAGCTCGAAAGCAATTGATGCTATAGATATCGACACGGCGAAGGCCTTGATAACGCGCAAGCGCGTCGCAAGATAAAAGGTAACGGAATACGAACGTATAACCTCGATACTTATCTTTACTTTTAGCAATCGCTTAAAAGCTTAAGGAACTTACGGGCGCAACCCCTAGGTGTAGCAACCGAGTGCACTCGGTTGCAACACCTTACTTACACCTTACTTACACCTTAACGTTTTGGTGTAGCAATCGAGTGCACTCGGTTGTAAATCGAATACTCGGTGTATACTCGGTTGTGATTCGGATAACTCTAAAAACGTATAGTCGATTTACAACCGAGTGAACACCGAGTACTCGATTTACAACCGAATGAACACCGAGTACTCGATTTACAACCGAATGCACTTGGTTGCTATACTTAATTATCTTATTACTCGCTCTTATTAATACTTCGTTACTATTACTAACACTTCGCTGCTACCTACCTTATCGTTACCAACACTTCGCTGCCACCTACCTCATCGCCACCAACACCTCGCTGCCATCTACCTTATCGCTATCAACACTTCGCTACCAATACCTCGCTGCTATTTACCTCATCGCCACCAACACCTCACTGCCACTTACCTCATCGCCATCAACACCTCGCTACTACTTACCTTATCGCTGCCACCTACTTTATCGCTACCAACACCTCGCTGCTACTTACCTTATCGCTACCAACACCTCGCTGCCACCTACCTCATCGCTACCAACACCTCGCTGCCACCTACCTTATCGCCACCAACACTTCGCTGCTACTTACCTCATCGCTACTAACACCTCGCTGCTACTTACCTTATCGCTACCAACACTTCGCTGCTACTTACCTTATCGCTACTAACACTTCGCTGCTACTTACCTTATCGCCACCAACACCTCGCTGCTACTTACCTTATCGCCATCAACACTTTATCAACCCGTCAATTTAAAGGAATCAATTCTATTACTATACGTATTCTACTAGCTAATTACATAAATATACCAATCTATTTTTAAGATCTTCTCTATCTTATTTATACTTTCCGTCCATTGAACAAAAAACAAAGTAATCTTTTGCGTATCGCAAAGCAAAAAGCTCGAATAGCGACTTAATACGTGATATCCGTTAAACTTTTATATCTAATACGTCATCTTTTATTAAGTCTTTATCTTTCGTATCTATTCTTTTAATATATAAATCAACGACGAATACGTATAGAATCCTTTAAAATTGAGCTACGTAAAATTAAACAATACGATACGTATTATTTTCATCGTGATCATCGTTTGCATCTTTTATATAAAAGCAAAAATCGCTAACATTAAAAGTTCGCCGACGGCTATTCGAAAACGTGCAAGACAATCGCTTATATTATATAATCTTGTCTTTGCGATTGAATGCGATAATATTGCGTATACTATATTCTATTTAATTAGTCAATTAGAAAAGCCATTACCAAGAGAAGGGGGGGTGTTGAACCAAAAGGGGAGGACAAAAAGGGGGGGGGGGAGGGAAGGAAAAGAAGGTATAGCCACCTTTATAAAACGCAATCTTTAAGTGTTTAAGAAACTCTTTAAGAACAGTATTCAGTATATTGATGTCTCTGCTTATGTATAATTGCCTCTCCGCAATTGTTCTTAAAGCGCCGTATCCTTTTATATCGATATTAACTTTAATATGCTATTATATGTCCAAAGTCGATTCTTTTAGCTTATTAATATCATTATCTATTCGTTCGTAAGAAAAGATAAAACTTTAAACGAGTCGTGAGCAATGATCTTAAATAATATGCAATAGTTTATCTAGTTTTAAATACGTTTCTTTCTAAGCTTTAGCGAAACCGAATCTAAAAGATTATTAAATAACGTCTTTAGAAAACAAATACGCTATTAAGTTAAGAAGCGCTGCGATATTAGCTTAACCTTTCTAATCATTATATATATTATTAATTATAACAAAATAGAAAAGAGATTTCTTACTTATGTTTAAGTTCTTTAAATAATACGTTACCGTTCATAATATAAGCGTATTCATTTATAATGTCGGCCAAGTGAAAACCGACATAATAATTAAGCAAATTAAAGATCTTTTGCCACTTGGTCAACTTTTTGCGAAAAGCAAGGCGGATATCCTTATCTTTATCCTCATCCTTATCCTTATCCCTATCCTTATCCTTATCTTTATCCTTATCCTTATCTCTATCCCCATCCTTATTCCTATCCCTATCCTTATCCCCGTCCGCTTTTATTCTTTTTATATTAACTAAGCTAAGTATACTTTCTTCGTTCTTATCATTATTAGATGCTTGGCCCATTTGCTTTGCGCTGCGAATTAAGATGTTATAAGTTTTACGCGATTCTCGTAATAATAAACGCATGATATCTAGCGATGTGTAAAAAGCCTTAATGCTAGTCTTGCAAATTACTACGGCTATATATTTAAAAAAGCGTATTAAACTAAATACCGGAAAGTATTCTTCGAAGATGCGAAAGAAAGAATTAAAGTATAGAAGCTTATATTAAGACTTCTTGCTGCGATAGCGAAAGATAAGAAGAATAAAGATCAAAGCTCGGCTTGTTTCCGATAAAAACTACGAAAACAAATGAAAAAGAAATTGAATCCGAGCTTAATTAAAAAGAAATAGAAAGTCTTGCATAGCTTAAATAAAACCTTTAGAACCGTGTTTCGTAAAGATATTATAGAATAGCAGCTTAAAAAGTATCTTGCCTATCCTTTTCTATTCCGAGTAAAGTGCGTCGTAAGCCTTGCTAAGTATAAAATCAAGTGCTAAAACAAAAAGTAAGATATCGAGATCATCTTCTCGCATATTATAGCCGAGAAAAAAATCCGATTTCCTTTTATCGTTATTAATATCTTAGCTAATTTTACGAATGAAAACCGTATCTTAATAATAGCGCGATATAATATCGAAATTAAATTCGTAATCTTTTCGCTTTTGCGATTAAGCATAATAAGCTTTGCACTTAAAAACAACGTTGTATCGCATAAACTTAAAGTTATCAGCTTGCTATAGCATATCCTTTAAAAGGATGATAAGAAAAGCCTTTACTAGCACATCTCTATCCTTAACGCGCACGATAACCTTTCTTGCTAATCGATTTAGCCTTAGTCGAAGATTAGCTATTATATCAAATATAAGAGCATCGTAAAGACCGAGACTTAATATAAAATTGTTTCTAAAGCGCCTCCGTTTATCGTATGAAAGCCCGGCGAAAATAAAATAAAAGCTTTTAATAGACTTATAATTAGTCTTATAAATACCGAAATCGTTTATAAACAATATAAATAAAATTAAAATAAAAGAAAAATAAGCACTAAAAGCAGCTGGAGCACTAAAGGCAGCTAAAGCATTAAGGGCAGCGAAGTTCTTTAACATCTTTCGTCCGTATACATGTATTTCTAGTTCAGCCCGAATTAAATGTATTTCTTTTATCAATGTTAATATGCTTCGATTTAAACTTAATATATACTTAATATAATAATCAAACTCGAGTAAGTCTAATATATCCGTTTCTTCCGTGTTATTATATTCTTATTTGATATCAATTTCCGTTCGATAAGCAATTGCACTCGGTAGTACTTCGAATGACTCGTAAAAGACAATAAGCTCTCGATAGTCCAAGGCAATATCTATATCGAAAAGCAGCTTTCGCTAAAGTGCAACGCTTTGCAATATGATTACTATATCTTTAACGTCTGTTATAAGATTAATAATCCGGTGCTCTCTACTAATAAAAGTAACACGTCCTTTAGAAAAGCTATTGATAAGCCTTATCAATTTAATAATATCATTAAGCAATATAATATTCTCGTCCATGTCTTTTATAAAGTCGTTAAATGTAGTCATTGCAAAAGAACTCTAAGCTTTAGAATAATAAAACTCGTAGAAGTAATTAACGTACTATGCTATTTTTAAATGTATATTGTTTATAATAACATTAGCTCGGACGAAGTAAGTAATTAAGTCTATTAGATCGTATTAGTAATGCTATATTTTACGCACGATATATATATACTTAATCTTGCCTTTTTGTTTTTCTACGAATGTAGCTTGCTTTTCTAATGTAATAATGATCGGCCTTCTTAAAAGACGCAATAATAATAAGTAAGCACGCACCTAGCGCTTTAAAGTATCGATTCGCAACGGTAATTAAAGTATTAGTTGTCTATCTTTATTTATAAGTCTTTTAAATATAACATTCGAAGCTATTATAAACAATTATCGAAGCTAAACATACTCTATGCGTAATATCGAGTTCTTTTCGCATTATAACTCGAATGCTAAATAAAATAAAAATATAAGATCTTTTAAAGCAAGAACAGCGATAGACTTTATATCGGAAAGGTCTTCGAATATTAAAAGTAAAGATAATAATAGTAATTATAAATCTAAATAATCGATTTCAAAGTCTCGAAGTCGAAATACATCGAGGTCGGACGTATTTAATACTTCTTTTTCTTCGTCCGGTGTAATCATAGCGTCTTATATATATATATATTAGCATATAATATAAAGTATATAATACGGAATTAAATACATCATCGTAAAACTCTTAAAGCTCGTCATCCGTCTCAACTTTTATATCGCTTTTATATTTACTGCTATCAGCTTTATTTAATATATTAACGTCACCTTCCTCTTCGAAATATAACTTTAACTCGTCCGAAGCTAAAGTAAAAGATGCTGCAGATTCGTGTCTAAATAAAGCAAAATCGAAAGATGCTAAATCAAAGTCGAAAGATGCTAAGTTAAAGTCGTATCTAAATGCTACAGATTCGTGTCTAGATGCTGCAGATTCGTGTTTAAATAAAGCAGAATCGGAAGATGCTAAGTCAAAGTCGTGTCTAGATGCTACAGATTCGTGTTTAGATGTTGCAAATTCGTGTCTAAATAAAATAAAATCGAAAGATGCTAAGTCAAAGTCGTATCTAAATGCTAAGTCAAAGTCGTGTCTAAATGCTGCAGATTCGTATCTAGATGCTGCAGATTCGTGTCTAAATGCTGCAGATTCGTGTTTAAATAAAGCAAAGTCGAAGGATGCTAAGTTAAACGCGTCGTATTGCGTAAGCAACGGTGAAGACCTAGCAAGTAACGTAATAAGTATAAAAGAGATTAAAGACGAAAATAAAGACAAGGATTCTAAAAATTCTAATTCAGATCTAATATGCCTTTGCTATACGATCAATCGAGACGTATTAAAGCGTCGAAGCATATCGTAATTGTTAAGAAAAGTGATGCTAGTAATAGCGTTGCTAGTGATAGCGTTGCTAATGATAGCGTTGCTAATAATAGCGTTGCTAGTGATAGAATTACTAGAAGGGTATTGCTTAAAGGATAGCGTTGCTAATAATAGCGTTGCTGGTAATAGCGTTGCTAATAATGGAATTACTAAAGAAATATTGCTTAAGAGATAGCGTTGCTAGTAATGGAATTACTAGAGGGGTGTTGCTTAAAGGATGCTGCTAATAAAAGACGTAAGTAATAGCTAAAAAATAATAGTTAGCGCGCGTGAATTATATTACTTATAATAATAACGGTTTTAGCAATTGATAAAGCTGCAGCTCGCAATTAAAAAAAGAATATAAAAAGTAACGTGCACTTGTGCCGATTTTCCTTATTTATTATATCGTTATAATATATAATAATTATAATAAATATCATTCAATTACAGCGTTTTATATATATAATACAGCTAGTATTAATTATACTACTATTGTTGTTGTTATTATATTTATTTACGTCGAGCGAATAGCAAGCGAAGCTTGCCGCCTTAAGACCTCCTATAAGGTACGGCGACGTATTAAGCTAAAGAATTACATACAAAAAGGCCTTAAAAAGCAATTCAAAGTGCTATAGCGAAAGCTATTATCGCATGCGCCTTTCTTTTACAAATAAGATAGATCATATAAAAAGAAACCTTTCATTAAAAGAAAACTACAAAATAAAAAGTCAAGCAAATACAAACTAGTAAAGCTAGCTAAAAGCGACTTGTTCACGTCGCGTAGCGATAAGAATCAAGGCCGGACCGAAGTCAGCCGAGTTATACTACCATGTAGCGATGAAAAGGCTATTTTTAAATTGCTATGACGCCGAAATAATAAAAGTATCTTGAATAAGTTCTAATAAAAAAAAAAAAAATACTACAAACTAAAAAGCAAAAAAAAATCAAAATACTTATCAATCATTATATACCCTATCGCTTCGAACCTAAAAATCATCTATTACTTTTCTATCATCGTCGCCTTAGCTTCTAGCATCTCCATTATCGTCGCTTTAGCTTTTAGCATATTTATCATCTTCGCCTAATCTATTATACTCTTTTAAGTTATCATTTCCAACTTCTTATTCATCTTCGGTTTCTTCTTTTACAGCTTTTTTTAGCTTAGCTTCTTTTCGTGCCGTCTGCTTAAAAAACTCCTCGTCGACCTTTATATCCTTATCGCTATTAAGATCGATAGCCTCTTTAGCATTTCGTTTTATTAAAATAAATAAATCGATAAATAGAAAATCCTTTATGCTTAATCTCGCAAATACGCTATATTAATAATAATTATTAAACGCACTTAAAAAGTGTTGACGAGTATATTTAAACAGCGTCTAATCTATAATATAAATCAATAAAGTTGTTAGTCGTTTATAAACGATTAAATGCACGGTAGCATCTATTAAATTAGCTTTTTATTATTATAACAATCGAATAAAATAAGTACTTATATCGCAAGAAATTCAACCTTAAATCAATTGCTTTCTCGAAGTCGATAGCTATAATAAACATAGAAAAAATGCTTATAATCTAATGCAATTAAAATTTCGAATTAATAATCGACTTAAGCTCTTTATAATTTGTAAACCGCGTTAATACTTTATCATTTTTATTGTTTGCGAAAAATTGTTCGATAAAACTCTTAATCTTTCGTAGCAAATAGCTTTTTCAGTTTTTAAAATCACTAATAGATTTAGCCGTACAGTTTTTAAATATCGCGTTAATATTCGATAATCCAAAGAAAACCTTCGATATTAAGATGTACGCGTTCTTTCGATTAAAGCTTATAATAAAAATCTTTCGATTCTAAAGTTCTAACTTAGCTATAGCTTTATTTTTAGTCTTTGTATATTCGACGTACACTTTAGTTGCTGCAGCAGATTCGATATCTTTCGAGTCGGTAGCTTTTAAGAACTGTATTGCTACCTTGCGTTTTTTCTTTTTCTTTTTATCGTCAAGAACTTCGCTTCTTTCCGCTAAGCCTTGCAAATCGCTTTTTATAAGCGGAAGTATATTAGCGGCGCGAAAGAGTGGGTTAGCAACAGCAGGTTTGGCGGTACTATAAGAGGCAGGTTTGGCGGCATTCTGAGAA